AACTGCATATTAGTCGCAACCTTTCCACTTTGATGCTTGAATATTCTCCCAGTATATATTTATATTTGAATATCTTCACCAGTGGGGAACTTGCTACCTGTTGAGGTCTTCCGTCCCTCACTGGATAATGAAAAAAAAAATTAATTGTAGTTGGACACAATACCTTTATTGTATTTATTTATTTTTATGTGGTGCTGAGGCTCAAACTCAGGGCCTTGCATGTGCTAGGCAAGTGCTCTGCCACTGAGCCACAACCTCAGCCCCTCACTGGATACACATAACCATCTTTCTTTGTATTCCTCTGAATTCCTGTCTTCCCAAGATTCCCTTGCCCTGTTTTCTGTCTGGCCCTTTAAATAAGGCAGAGCAAGTATATTGTTTTATCCACAAACCAGCTAACCTGTAAGATGAACAAGATTCACTCTACACCTATTCTTTAGGTCATTCCCCTACAATGTGTTTTCTAGCTCCATAGTCCAGTGGTTAAGCCCTTGTTACAGAGCAGTCTCCAAGCTCCCAGTGGGACTTGATCAATTCAGAGGAGAGAGCATACCTCCTTTGACTTGGATACCATTCTTCTTTAAATATGGCCTGGGGTCCCTCCTGCTTCTGGGCCTGCCCCATCACAGTGGTCTTGCCCAACCTCATCCTCAACATCAGTCTCTTCATCTTCTTGGGACCAACAACATGCCCTCACATGTAACCACGCTGTTCAGGTTACGCTTTTAACCACGCTGTTCAGGTTACGCTTGTAACCACGCTGTTCAGGTTACACTTGTAACCACGCTGTTCAGGTTACGCTTGTCATTGTTCCTCTTAGCCATGTCCTGGGTCTCGGTTCTTTTTCCTGCCTTCCCATCCTAGATGGTATCAGCCCATATCTCCAAGAAATCTTTCCATGTTGCTAATAAAAAGATTTTCAGCAGGACACCTACTGGGTCCCCTGCAGACCTAGTCCTACAAGCATTAGGTGAGTCCTTGAGATTTGCTCCATAGTATAGTCCTTCCACTGGTTATCAAAGCTGGAAAACCCTGTGTGACAGGTCACCCATGCGGCCAAGTCCAATTCCATGCTAATTGTCCCTGACATGTGGCCATATTCTGAGACTGCTCTTCCTTTGGGATCTCTCCATGGGCAACCACTCCATCCTCACTCCCTGTCCAAGCCCCAGAGGGTCCCTTCCTTCTTAGATCATCTCAGCCACCTGCCCAGCTTCCAGCCGGTGGCCTTTACTGCTTAGGTTCCCCCAGCCCCAGCTCTGTCTGCCCAGGATGGCTCTGGAGTGAACTCACTCCCTGCAAAGGAGACTTCAGAGCAAAGCCAGGCCCTTCAGCCCCCCTATTTTTGTCTCCAGCTCCATCACAGCTTCTTTACATCCCCTGCTCCAGCCCAGCTTCAGCATGGATGGGGTCCCAAGAATGGCTGTATTATTAACTACAAGGGGAGACAGCTCCTCACCTGAGAACTTGGATGATTTAGTTTTTTCTGTACTATTCTCCTGTTTTGGACTTCATCCCTCAAGCCCAGGACAGCCCTCAGAGTGGACAGCTGGAGAGGGCAGTCCAGTCCAGCTGTTGCTGTTCCTCCTCCTCTGAACCTCCCCTTACTCCCTCACAGCTCGGGGAGGACTCTGACTACGATAAACTGAGTGACATGGTGAAATACCTAGACCTGGAACTTCATTTCGGCACCCAGAAACCTACTAGTGAGTGGCCTGGTGGTCCTGGGGGAAGTTCAGAGGGCATCGCAACCTGCTACCTTTTGTGGCTTCCTTAGGTTCAGAGTCCCCAAAGCCTGCCCTAACTGCTATTTGGCTAACATATCTTCAAACCTTCAAGCCCCGTTAGTTTTTCCCATCTCAAAGTGGAGATAACAATAAAAGCTGGCATTTATTGTGTGCTGACCAAATGTCAGGTAATCTCACTTTTACATTAATCCCTTGACAACTCTGCAAGGTAGACACTAGGATCACCTCCCCTTCCTAAAGAGGAAGATCTGAGAGGCTAGGTAATTTGGTCAAAGCCATACAGGCAGAATAGGGTAAACAGAAAGCATCTACAAACATCTCTTTCTCCTTCTCCCCTCATCCCTTTATGGGTGTCACTCTATTGTATTTGGGTGGGACTCCAAGAAGCCCTGTGTGTGGTCACAGGATGGAGGAGAAAGACTGACTTGTACATTCAGGAATCATCTGAAAGTTCCAGAGGTCGTTTGTTTTCATTATCCTGCTAGCTGGGTCCAGAGGGCTCAAGGGAGAGAGGGCATTTGGGAAGGTGACAGTGAGGGGATAAACACACCTTGCACACTAAATGCATTCAGATCTGCAATGGGAGACTGAGGTATGAGGGCAATACGGACATCTGGCACTGAGCCAGTCAAGGTGGTGCTTGGGAGGAGGGAGGCCCTGGGCAGTTGGGTGTGGCTGCCTCTCCCCTAGGCCCTGTTTATGCAGCCCCAGCCTAGGACCCCACCCCACCCTGCATCTCCTCCTCTCCATTAAACTGTACAATTTATCTTCCAGAGCCAGTGCCTGGGCCTGAGCCCTTCCGAAAGAAGGAGGTGGTGGAGATCCTGTCTCACAAGAAGGCCTACAACACCTGTGAGAGGCCAGAGAATCCCAAGGATTCTTGGGGCTGTTGGTGGCCCTTTCTCTGGGCCATAGACTCTTGGACCCTGCCGGAGGGATAACAGGAATTATCTATGGGGGCCAGGACACCTGTCGCCAGGCCGACTGAAGGCCCCCCTCCTAGGCCCTATACCTGGGGGTGGGGTGGGAATTCCATCTGATCTCTGGTGCCAACCTTGGCTTCATCCTGTATTGGCCCTACCCTCTGCAATAGGCTCCCAGTTCTAGTCCCGCTTCCAGCCACATCCTCCACTCTGCCGCTGGCAGACCCTTGCTTAGCTCCTGGCCCCACCCCCGCGGGCCCCACCTAGGGTCTTGGTCCTTCTCCTTGAAGATCCCGCCCTAACCCTTCAATCAGCCTGACTTCTGGGACCGCCCCCGCGCACCTGCTTCTGCGCCTATTGTAGGTCCCGCCCCCCTGTTCTTGTCCCTGCCCCCAGTAGCCAAGACCCCTCTCGGAGCCCCGCCCCTCCCCTGGCCACGCCCCCGGCTCACCCTTGCGGTCCTGCCCACAGCCATTCTCTTAGCACACCTGAAGCTGAGTCCCGCGGAACTGCGGCAGGTGCTCATGAGCATGGAGCCCCGGCGCTTGGAGCCCGCGCATCTGGCGCAGCTGCTGCTGTTCGCGCCCGATGCCGACGAGGAGCAGCGCTACCAGGCCTTCCGTGAGGCGCCCGGTCGCCTCAGCGAGCCGGATCAATTCGTTCTTCAGGTGCCTCGGCCGCGACCTCCGCCCCTGTGGCCAAGGCCTCCTGGGTCAAGGCTCCCCTTTGTGACTGGGGACTGTTCTGTCCCGCGCCCCTTGGGTTCCGCCGCCGTGCTCAGACCAGTTTAACACCTTTAATGGCCAGTGCCCAACCAGGGCCAAGGTAGATGGGATAAGAATGTCCCCTAGGGGTCATGCTTACTTTTCTTAAGGGTATAGCCGGCCCAGGCAGCCAGCCCCCAATCCAGGTCGCTGTCGGGCCGTGGGTCCCCCTGGAAAGCGAAGGGTGAGTCCCTCCCTGAATTTATGGCAGATGCTGTCGGTTCCCGAATATAAAACCCGCCTGCGCAGCCTCCACTTCCAGGCCACCCTACAGGAGAAGACAGAGGAGATCCGAGGCAGCCTCGAATGCTTACGACAGGCTTCCCTTGAGCTTAAAAACAGCCGGAAACTCGCCAAGATCTTGGAGGTCAGGATGCATCGTTCCCCAACCAGCTACTGTGCTCCCTGTAGATGCCATCCTTGGAGACCCATCCTGACTCCTGGGCCTGGGGGTGGGTGGGTGGTGAGGGGAGCACCACAATCTACCCATCTTCCTCCCTACAGTTTGTTTTGGCCATGGGCAACTATCTCAACGATGGACAGCCCAAAACCAACAAGACCACGGGCTTCAAGATCAACTTTCTGACAGAGGTGAGAGCCAGTCAGCAGTAATTTGACTAGCTCTCTCTACCCTCCAGGCTCCCTGGCCAAACCTAACACAAGTTGTGACAGAGGGGAGGAGAAAAACAGCATGACCCAGGAGGGCCATTCCCCCACCCCAGGGGAAATGCTGGCTGCACAGAAGCCAGAATGTGACTGCAGCAGAGGTTGAGGTTAGGGGTGGGGAAGGTGCCAAGCCTCCGAAACTGGAAAAGAGGAGAGGGTGAGGTGAGTCAGAAAGAGACTATCAAAGACCAAGAAGTGGTGCCACAGTCCAGGAGAAGCTGGGGCCATGTGACCAGAAATGTGGTGTGGTCTTTGAGGAGGATGTTTGTTGGGGATCACTTGCAGCTGAACTCCACCAAGACAGTGGATGGGAAGTCCACCTTCCTGCACATCCTTGCCAAATCGCTGAGCCAGCACTTCCCTGAACTCCTGGGCTTTGCTCAGGACCTGCCCACCGTGCCCCTGGCTGCCAAAGGTAGGCTGGGTAGATAGGTGGGGAATCAGAGACATGCTGTCCTGGACTGTAAATGTGACCCCATGAGCCTTCTGTTCATTCCTGTAGTGAACCAACGGGCCCTGACTGGCGACCTGGCTGACCTCCATGGCACCATCAGTGAGATTCAGGCTGCCTGCCAGACCATGTCCCCCTCCAGTGAGGACAGGTTTGCTGTGGTCATGGCGGTATCCTCTGAGCAGCCTGTACCAGCACCATGCTGGGCCATGGGGTGGCTGGGTAGAGCCAGCAGTGGCTCCAGTGGCCACTGCAGATCCCAGCAGAGATTCTGGGCTCAGGTTGTTGTGCATCCAGGGATCCTGGAAGAGGTTTCATCCTGGATCATGTAGAATCCAAGTACTCATGCCAAATCTGAGTAACTGAGGCCAGAACTCTGTAGGTTGTCCCATAGCTGTTGCTTTCCCCTTTGTTTCTCTGTAGGCAGTGGAAACCAGATATAAGACACAAGATAGAAGGGGAGGCTTTTCAGGAAAGGGGAACATTTTCGCTAAACCCTCCAACCGAGCCTGGCCAGCAGGGAGGACTGGGGGAATGGCATGTGACTCTTCTCCCTGTCCATCTCTATGGCCCCAAGACCCCTTGGCAGAAAAAACAAGGTTTTCCTTGCTGAGGCTCGTCAAGAAAGAAGGCTCTGGGGGCTGTGCCTATAGCTGAGGCATTTGGCCCTCACCTGGCAAGCACCAGCCATCTGTCCCTGACTCCAGCACATAGCTTGCTGGGGGTGTGTCCAGGTAGGATTTTTTTTCCCCCCTGATGCTAGAGATCAAACCCGGAGCTTCACACATGCTAGGTGCGCATTCTATCATTAAGCTTCCTCCCCAGCTCAAGGTAGGAGTTTGATACCGATCCCCTCTTCCCTCTCAGGCAAATACTGTGGTTTGTGTAAGATGCTTCTCATTCCCATTCTCTTTCACCCATGTAACACCCAGATTTTTGCAGCTATGGAAACCAATGTAATTCAGGTAGAGATCAGTCCACTTCATATCACTCAATCCAGGAGTGTCCTCTCTGCTTCCATGGGTTTAGAGGTCTTCAGAGAGAGAATGGGTGGTCATTCAAGGGCAGCCTCTTTAGAGGGACTTTAGCCCTAGGCATTAGACAGGCTTAGGCTCAAATCCTGACTCAGTCGTCGCTGTGTGACTTTAGGCAAGCCACTTACTTTTCTGGGCCTACTTTACTCCTTTTTAAGGAGAGGTAAGAAGTGGACCATGTGGTCATTATCTGGTTATGATGCAGATGGGTTTTGACCCTGGTTCTGACACTATCTCTGGCTCAAGCATAGAGCTTATTGTGTGATCTTGGGCTAGTTTCTAAAGTTCTTTGTACTTTAACGTCTTCACCTATAAAATAGTAATAATGTACTTCATAGAGGTATTATGATGATTAAACAAGAATGTGTAGAGGGCTTAAAACAAAGCTTGGCACAGCTTAAATGCTAGAAAGTGGTAGCAATTGAGCTGCTAAATCTTTTTCAAGAACACAGTTGCTATCCTAAGCACTTGAGGTATATGTAGGGCACAGGCCTGCATTACCACAGGGAATGAACCTGTGAATGGTTTCACATAGTGCCAAATACTATAGAAAAAAGTGTAAGGCTTAGACAGTGAAAGAAGGAGCCACTATAAATGGATGGTTGGGGCAGAAGCCTTCCTCTAGGCAGAGCTCTAGGGAAGAAGGGCTAAGGCTCTCTCCAAGAAGGACTAAGGCTTGGGAGTTGTGGCAGTTTCCAAGAATAGCTTAATAGTCAGTGACCAGAACAGGGCACATTCCCTGCCAATACAGGGCCTGTCCCTCCAAAGGTCTCAGGCAGAGAGGGAGTGGGGCAGCTAAGATGATGTCTGGGGTCACTGCCCAGCAAGGTAAATGGGAGGGCACCAGAGGGTTGGCTGTTTCCTTAATGAACGCCCCTTAGTCCTTCCTGGAGACTGCCCAGCCTGCACTTCGGGCACTGGATGGGCTGCAGCGAGAGGCCATGGAGGAACTGAGCAAGGCGCTGGCCTTCTTTGGGGAGGATTCCAAAGCAACCACCTCCGAGGCCTTCTTCGGCATTTTTGCGGAATTCATGAGCAAGTTTGAGGTGAGCCAAAGTGGCTAAAGGGTCCCTTAGGGGAGGTTGGGGCCAGAGGTCATCTAGGGGCATCCTCCTTGAAGCCTTACTGAAAAAGGGTTCCAGGGAATGATATGCCCCACTCCTGGACAAGAGCAAGCCACAACCTCAGCCTTGGTGGTATGGGTTGGTAAAAGGAAGAGGAAGGCATGGGATCACTGACCACCCCTTGTTCTCCTGTCTCCCAGCGAGCACTCAGCGACTTGCAGGCCGGGGAGGGCCCACGCAGCTCTGGGATGGCTTCACCTCTGGCCTGGTGACAGCAGCCACACCTCATTCTCTGTGGCCTGAGCACTGAAAAGGACACCAGAGGCTTCACCCCAGAGGGCAGGCAGCCTGCATGCCACCGAGGTTCAGGCTGGTGAATGCACAGCGTGGCTGCCTGAGGGAAGGGCCTGGACATGCCCGCGTCTCCAGCTACCTCAGCCGCAGACCATAGAACAGTCCGGGCCTCCCTGCCTGCTGTGTCCCGCTGCAGGCCAGCTGGGACTCTCAGGGCAGGGGGGACAGGCAGGGTGGCCTGGCCTCATCCCGTGCTCCATGGGCTTCTTGTGGTCACCCCACCTCCCCACATCCCTTCCCGGCCTGTTGAATAGAATAAAGTACTTCTGTGAGACCCTGGGACATCAGCCTGCAGGTGGATTGTGAAGTGGTCACCAACCTGGGGCAGTGTCTGGGGCTGTGAGGAGTGCGCCAGCTCGCAGGAGACTGTGAACCTCTTCCTAAGCCTGCTCGAATGGGTCCTGGAGAGGAGACAGGTGACCTGGAGCACATCCACGCCAGCATCAGAAGGCAGCTTGCTCTGGGATGCCAAGGCCCCTCAGAGGAAGGCAGGTTGGCAGGCAGGATGAAGAGCCCAAAGCACCTAGGCCCTGGAGACACAGGGCAAGATCAGGTCTAGGAAGTTGGAAGGAGATGACCAGAGCAGAGAAGCCAGGGAGATACAGGGAAGGCTTGGAAGAGGAAGACCTGCTATGTTAGACTGCAGAATTGAGGTTTGAAATCAGTGGATAAACTCAAGACCACTGCAGAGGTGGCCAGATTCTTAGCAGGGAGGTTGGGAGTGGGCTGGGAATCTTCAGAGTCAGGGAAGAGAGTACAGGGAGAGGTTAAAGTGGTCGGTGAGCGGGATTTGGTGGCTGATTGCCACATTTCTCACTGGGATGGGTGCTGATGTTCCCTGGGAACAGGTCATGTGAATCAGGTTTGGGAGCAGATGACCCAATCTGAGACATGTGTGGGATCCAGGAGGCCACGTTATATATGTCTGGGGAGAGAGAAGGGGGTTACCTGGATGCCTGGAGCAGGTGGAGCTGTGAGCAGGGAAGGAGATCAACTAGTTTTCCATGCTGATTGGTAGATCCCTGCGACAGGCAACTTTGCCTGTTCCCTCTTCTGTGACTGGTTCTTCCAGAGAAGTCTGAAATGGGCTTTCAACCTATGGCTTGGAATTTTTTTTCTTACACTACAGCAAATGGTTAATGCTACTCATGGGCAGAATTTGGGGACCCATTTGGTTCTTCCCAGTCTTCCACAACTTTCCTCTTTAAGGCCCATTTACATTCCTTCTTTGTTCCCACTCACCACCATCATATAAAAATGTCTAAACCAAAACGTGTACTTCAAGCAAGAATCTGGATAGTGGGGTACACTTATCCCCAGCAGCTCAAGCTGAATAGATTCCACAAATTCCCAGTGCTTGTGTCTCTGGGAAACATGTCAGGTCAGTTAAAGTCCCTGCGTGTGATGTGTAGAGATTATAGTCTGGAACTCCAGACCAAACTAGCTTCTCTAGTAGTTTCCTGAAAGTTTGAAACAGGTACTTACTCCAGAAGATCCAGCCCCTGGATTGCATGGTTTGGCAAACCAACCACTAGTTAGATTTCCCCTGACATGCCTTGTATCTCTTACCTGTTTGCCTCAACAATGCTGTGTAACAAACTGTCCCCAAACTCTGTGGTTTAAAATGACAACCACTTACTGCTCAAGAGTGCATGGGGTCACTGGAAGTTCTGATCTGAGCTGGGCTCTGTGATGCTCTCATTCATCTGTGGTCAGTGTGAGTCAGTTAAGCAGCTTTGCTAATCATGCAGGGCTATCTCCCGTGTCTGGGGTGTTGGCTGAAAAACCTGGGACAATCTCATGTGGTCTCTCATCCTGCTCCCAAATAGCCAGGATCATTTACAAGAGGGAGGCAGGGGAACAAAAGAACAAAGAAGCAAAGGCACAAAGGATCTGTCGAGGTTTAGGTTCAGATATAGCACAATATCTTTTCCATCACATTCTGTTATCAATTCCAATGACAAGGGAAGCACAAATTTTAGGAAATGGGCTCCAGTTTTTTTCCCAGTGCTGGGGATGGATCCTGGGACTTTGTGCGTGCCAGGTAAGTGCTATACTGCTGAGCTACATCTCCAACCCAGATTCCACTCTAAATGAGAGATGTTGCAAAAACCACATTGCAGAGGGTATGGGATTCAGGTGGACCATTTTTGCAATCAATCTACTATATGGCCTTTCAGCTGGACACTGGTGCAGATCCCATCCTCCTTAAAGCTCCAAATGGTCCTGATCCTGCCTGGACCCAGCACTGCTTGGTTTTCCATCCCCAGTGTCTCCAGATGGCATGCTTTCCTCACCTGGTCCTGACTCCTCTGCTGATTATCAGTCCAGTGGGCAGCAGTGGGTTGAGCCTGCCCAGCAAACAATCTCACCCTTCTGCTGAGAAAAGTTTCATTTTTCCTTTGGGAAATGATCCCTCCCCTACTCCCAGGCCTTGGAGTTGTGCTGATTGGAAATGAATGGTCTCGTGTCTGGTTGGGCAGCTCGGAGTCAATCTAAGACTTGAGCTGAAACTGTCTGAAAAGGGAGACTTCCTTTCCTCTGGAACTGTTGGTGCACTGAGGGTGGAAACCTGGAGAGAGACATCTGGGTGTAAAGCCGAAAGAGGAGAAGATCATCATGTACATCTCTGTCCCTGGATCCCAATGTGCCTGAAGTAGATTTCTGGACTTGTCAGTTTCCAAGTCATCAAGTCCCCCTCCATTTTTAAATGTTCAAATTATATTTTAATTTCTTGGTTTAGAGCTGGTTTGAATGGGTTTCAGTCACTTGCAATCTTAAGAGGGTTGACTAACATATCTATCAATGGATGTTTTAGAATATGGTGTTTTGTTTTCAATTTTATTTTTTACACAAACAGAGAACAACTTTTCATTTTTCAGTTTGTACATGATGGAGCATCACACCATTTGTGCAATCATACCTGTACATAGGATAATAATGTCTTTCATTCTACCATCTCTGCCAATCCAAAGTTCCTCCATTATTCCCTTGCCTGCCCCCCCCCCATTATGGATCAACATCAGAGTAGAGTATTTTTAACATGCTCAGTGAGCTCTCTTCATGCATAAATGCATTTGCTTTTTTTTTTTTTTTTTTTGGTATAGGGACTGAAGTCAGGGGATTGAATGTTTACCACTGAGCCACATCCTCAGTCCTTTTTATTTTTTTATTTTGAGACAGGGTCTCACTAAGTTGTTCAGGGCCTCACTAAGTTGCTGAGGCTGGCTTCAAACTTGCAATATCTTCCTGCCTCCGCCTCCCAAGTCACTGGGATTATAAGCATGCACGGCTGCACCCAACTGTCGATACTTTCTGACTTGTGCCAAGCACAATGCTGGGTGCAGCAGACATCTTATGGGTCAGCCTCTCTGAGTTTAGTTTCCTATATTTTATGATGGTTCTACTCCAGAGTCAGTGCATAGTCCTACGTGAGAACCAGTACATGTCCCTTCCCTGCAATTCGTTACCAAATGACAAGGTGTGGATGCAAACAATTAATGCCCCAGAAAGATCTCTGAATAATATAACATAACAAAACAACATAGCCTAATTATGCACCATCTTTCCAAGTAGTAGTATCAGTTGACGTTACTAGGTAGTATGCTCAAAGTTTTGACATAATATGGAAAAGTCAAAACTCCAAATGCCATAATCCCAAATATTGCCCAAAATATTTTAAAAATCCCCAAAACATAATTATGGAAAAATATTTTTGTCTGGTACTGGGTTTTATCCCAGGGTCTTAGGCAAGCACTCTACCATCGAGCTATATCTCCAGCCATGAAAAAAAATATTTTTAAAGAATTCTTTTAATGCTGGGTACAGTGACTTGGGAGGCTGAGGCAGGAGAATCACAAGTTTAAGGTCAGCCTTGGCAACTTAGTGAGATCCTCAGCAACTTAGCCAGATACTGTCTCAAAAAAATAAAAATAAAAATAAAAAGGACTGGTGAAACAGCTTAGTGGTAAAGTGTCCCTGGGTTCAATCCCTGGTATCAAAAGAAAAAAAATATTTTAAAGATACTAATTTATATTTTAAATGGATTTACTTGAAAAGAATAAACAGAATACTTTATAGACCACTCCAATAGACTTTAATAATATACTTTTTTTAAAAATAATTTTTAGTTGTAGATGGACACCATACCTTTATTTTATTTATTTTTATGTGGTGCTGAGGATCGAACCCAGTGCCTCATATGCATGCAAGAACTTTACCACTGAGCTACAACCACAGCCCAATAACATACATATTTTTACAAGCATAAACACTTAGGTTCATCATAAGATTCACACATGTATATAATGGTTATGAAGAGACAAATGTATTCATAAAAATGTCAAAAAGCAAATGTATTAACACATATCACTATGATTTCTAATTGCATCCATCCAGCTTTATATCTGCAGTCATTGGAAATACCATGACAATATCTTTTGATGAGATCCATCAAAAACTGCAATGGGGGGCTGGGGTTGTGGCTCAGTGGTAGAGCACTCGCCTAGCACATGTGAGGCACTGGGTTTTATCCTCAGCACCACATAAAAATAAATTTAAAAAAATAAAGATATTGTGCCCAACTACAACTAAAAACTAAATAAATATTTTTTTTAAAAACTGCATTGGGTTACTACCATGTATGCAGTGATCCAAAGAGCTGAGATCTTAATTTTATCTTTCACAAATGCATATGTACAGAAAGGATATCTCTTTATTTATTGAAGAAGTTTCACCATTTTCATGTACATGAACAATGCTTAACAAAGTCAACATTGTGATAACACATTTCCACAGAATCAAATTTGAAAAAAAATGCATTAAATGGATTAGAATAATTTATATAACTCAGTCATGGTGGCACACCCTGTAATTCCAGCAACTCTGGAGATTAAGGAAGGAGGATTATAAATTTGAGGCCAGCCTGAGCAATTTGGAGAGACTCTGTCTGAAATGAAAAATAAAAAGTCCCGCATGTTAAGTGTTAAAGTGGTTGCCTCCTACACGTGAAGCCCTGAGTTTAATCCCCAGTACTGAAAAAAAAAAGAAAAGGAAAAAAATTATTTACATAATTCATAATATGGAAAGTACTGCCCACCTCCAGTTTTTCCTCCATCTTCAGTGCCATGTTTCTATGTTGTTTTTGGTATGTGGAAAGTCCATTCTGCATGTACACACATATAGACCACAGATTTGGCAGAAACAATACTAATGATGGAACAGCACCACTGTCGCATAAGTATCTTATTCTTGGTCACACCTATAGCCCAGTTGTACCAAGG